TCCGCAGCCCACACCTCCTGATGACCTCTCCCAGCAGTTTCATGTAGACGTTAAACAGCAAAGGGGACAAAATGGACCCCTGCGGTACTCCGTGGCATAGCTGCCATGGCGCATAGCCATAGTCCCCCAGCACCACCTTCTGGAATCGGCCATTGAGATTGGAGCGGAACCACTGCAAAGCAGGGCCTCCGACCCCCAATCCCGCTAGCCTATCCAAAAGGATACCATGGTCGATGGTATCGAAAGCTGCTGAGAGGTCCAGGAGAACCAACAGGGATGCACTCCCCCTGTTCTTCTCCCTGCACTGGTCATCGTACAGGGCAACCAAGGCAGATTCAGTACCATACCCGGGTCTGAAGCCGGACTGAAATGGGTCCAGATAATCAATTTCATTCAAGAGTGCTTGGAGTTGTCCCGCCACCACCTGCTCCAACACCTTGCCCAGAAATGGGATGTTGGCCACTGGTCTATAATTAGTGGCCATCTCTGGATCCAGTGACGCTTTCTTCAGGACCGGTTGGACTACCGCTTCCTTTAAAGGGGCAGGTACCCAACCCTCCCTCAGAGAAGCGTTAACCACTTCCAAGATCCAGGTCCCAATCCCGTGCTTGATGTTGTTAATTAACCAAGATGGGCAAGGGTCCAATAGGCAAGTGGTGGGACGTACTCATGCAAGCACCTTGTCCATATCATCAGGCCGCAATAACTGAAATTCATCCATTAATTTTGCACCAGACGGCGACATTGGTATCTCCCGAGAAGCCTCTGAATCACTAGTAGAGTCTAGCTCATGATGAATCTGAGCGATTTTCTCCCTGAAATGCCTGGCAAAGTCGTCACAGCGGGCCTTCGAGGGTGGAACCAGATCTTTCTTAGGGCCAGGAAGGACCAGCCCTTGTACCACCCGAAAAAGCTCCGCTGGATGGCATTTTGAGGAGGCAATGGAAATGGAGAAGAATTTCTTTTTCGCCGCCCTCACCACCACAGCATAGGCCCAATAGCGTGCTCTTAAGTGTGTTCGGTCAGATTCATCCCGTGATCTCCTCCACCTACGCTCTAGACGTCTCCCGACCTGCTTCATTGCCCGCAATGCAGATGAATACCAAGGGGAAGAGTGGGCTCTGCCTGGTGGGAGAGGACGCTTAGGAGCAATCGTTTCAACAGCCCTAGTCTGTTCGACCAGAGCCTCGACAGGAGCACCAGTCTTGTCAGCCAGAAACTCCCCCCAGGGTCTTCAGGAATCCATCCGGATCCATCCGGCTCCGGGGGGCGGACCCACACAATCGGGTCCGCACCCTTACAGAGGGAGAGGCTGCTCTCAAGCACAAACCTCACGAGGAAGTGATCTGACCACGACAGGGGTGTCAGACATAAATTCCTCACCCTCAGACCACCCTCTTCCTGCCCCGTCGAGAAAACCAGGTCCAAAGTGTGTCCACGTTCATGGGTCGGGCCTGTGACATGTTGAGACAGCCCCATGGCCATCATGGAGGCCATGAAGTCCTGAGTTGCCCCAGTCAGACCAGTCTCGGCATGGAGATTGAAGTCCCCCAGGACCAACATCCTGGGGGTCCTCAACACCAGGTCCGAGACGATCTCCGTCAACTCAGGCAGGGATACTGTTGGGCAGAAGGGTGCACGGTACACCAACAGAATCCCCAATCTGTCTCGGTCGCCCAACACCAAGTAGAGGCACTCCAGCCCCGGCCTTGAAGGGACTGGAAGTCCCGTGAGGGAGATGGAGGCTCGGTAAACCAAAGCGACCCCCCTCCCCTCCCCTCCAGGCGTGGACGGTGCTGAACCAGATACTACCTTGAATAACTGCCTTGTTTTTTCCTAGGCAATAACCACCCATACATAAATTAGTTAAATAGATGTAACTCATTCTTTAAACTTGCCTTATTCTAGTAAATGGCGAAAAACCTGCTGTTGGATTAGTAGATAGACTTCTAAAAACACTGTGATATTTTGCCTTTGCTTCAAAATCACAAAAATGTACTTTAAGCACATTTTTAATAATTCAGAATATGTAGATGCTCTTAATTATACAGGAGGAAAGAGTGTTTTATTTTCCAGCTTTATTTTCCAACAAGTTTTCCAGCTTGTTTTCTGGAAAAGTTACCTGCAATAACCACTTTTTTGTCTAGATTGACACATGTGGTTGGCTTTTGCACTGCATCCAGGGCCAGGTTAGGAATTACAGAGCTGTGCTGTGCAGGGGCTTTCTGGTACCATTCCAGATAGATTGACCTTACCTGCCTGCACTGGCAGTCGTGATTCCCTTTCCCCACCATTCCCAAACAGTTGATACCCAAGAAGCATGTGCAAACACCTTACTCTGGTGTGTGTGTATTTCTGAATAGCATCAGTGGCACTGTAATTTACTAACACAATCAATTGAATTATTTTCTTCAATACCAAGTTAGTTTTTATGGATACATTTGGTCATTCCTTGAAGTTTAGTCTTTCCCACTCTTAAGAGAATTTCCATACACATGTAAGACTTAAACTGTATTGCTCTTGAGGTTGAATTTGTGATCATTGTTCATGTGGAAGACAGTCATTTGTAGTGCAAATAGGCAATTTGGTTAACCTAGGTTTTATGTTGATACTACAAACGGACCAGTTTCCTTTAAACTTCATATATGAATGTGTTTTAAGTTTCTGATTTCACAATGTTTGTGTGATTTGGCTAAACTTTTGAGCTCAACCAAAGGAAGTGGAAGAATTCCGTAGCTTGCTTAAATGGATAAGAATTGCCATTTTGATCGAGGGATAAAGCTGGTAAATGAGTACTGCTCACACATTCATTTTGAAGATTGCTGCTTACAAATAGCTTACATTTTAAAAAACGAGGAGGAAGGTGAAGCAGAAGAAGAATTTGGTTTCTTCTAGAAACTTTCCGTATTTCTGTACTCTGGCAAACTAATGTTTTAGGACAAATACTGAAGAAGAGATTTTTTTTGCAGCTGATTTTGTTTTAACCCCACAAAGGGAAGGCTAATTCTTTCCAGAAGGCTTGTTGAATCACTCAGATGATCCTGAGCCAACTCACACAGTTCTTGACTTTGAACTAACATGTCACCAATATTGGCCCAGGCTTGAAGACTCAACACAACTGCAAATGATTGCATTACTCACTGTTTATTATATAGTTCCTTTCTCTTGCCAGAAATAACTTGAGGCTATGAAAATGTGTGTCTGTCTCAGGAGATCTATCACTCCTATTCATCTTATCAAGGTTTGACCTGAATTACACTAGGTAGAAAATATTTTGCTTTTCTCTTCTCTCATGCACAATTCTCTCTCAGTCCAGAAGTTTCACAGAGTTAGAATAACTAGTATGTTCAGGAATATTTCAATTAATTGTCATATAAATAAAACTAATATATGTCTCTGAATGGAAAAACAACTCCTGCAGGTCAGGAGTGTACAACCTGTTTGCCCTCACCATCCCCCCCGGCACCATGGACATGGGCTGCACATGTGGTCACATACGTGTATAATATAAACATGCTTCCTGCCTCTTTTCTACACACAGAGAGACTTCTTGCACACACCACCCTGCCATGTGCACTTCTGCCTTGCTTGTCCATTTGGGCTGCCTAACAAACTGTGCGAGGTCCTCAGGCCTTCTCACACACATCTGTACTTGAAGGGAAAAGGAAAGGCATCTGTCTGCAACTGTACAAGGATTATGTTACTGTTCTGTGTCCTCATATATTTAGCTTGCTTTTGTCCCCATTATCAATTAACATGGCAATACAAAGAAGGTCATAAGGACTAGGGACTTTAGCAGTGCACAAGACATACCCAGGTCCATTACCATCCTTATCCTCACCATAGCATTACATTTAGACCCAGAATGGAAAAGGGGGTTCTTTCTTCTTGCAGGGGATCTAGGGTGGCTTCCAACCTTAACGTCTTCAGTTTAAACTCACAATAACAATCTTATGAGATAGGTTAGGCTGAGAGTAACTGGCTCAAAGTTACCCAGTGGGCTTCATGGCTGACAGGTAATAGGACCTGGCTCCGTTCAGCATCTTCACTGGGGTTCTTTTGTGGCACTAGTGGCTGGACTTGGCTACTGTGAAACCAGGATATAAGCCTTTTTTGCATTTTTGGCCGTCTTCCTGGTTCATGAACCTGACATTCCACTTCCCTCCCAGAATCTACTTTGCCTTTTCTGTGCTCCTTCCCTCAAAACATTTTTGCTAGTCCTTATACATAGTAGTAAATATGTCTATTTCTACTTTGTCACCTAAGCCAGCTGATTCCATTTGTCCTTCAGAAAACAATGTGTTTTCTTGCAGTCTGAACTGACTGCAGAATGCAGGACTTTCCACTGAGTATTCTTTACCTTACAAGATTAGCAGGCTGGTTAAAACATTACTCTCATCTCCAGAAAAATAAAGCACAGCTGGATGAATGGACTTTGACTCAAGCTATTCACTAAGATCTTGCAATCCTGTATTTTTAGTTTTGTGCCATAATAGCACAATATTTAGCTCTGCATTTTCCTGAATACATTCTCTTTAATAAAATTATATGGATAGAAAATATACAGGTCGGATGTTGCTACAGCCCCTTTCCATTTTTCAATTTTCTTCCATTTTATGAAATTTTCTGTTTAATGGGAGCTGTAGTTGCTGCAAAACTCAAATGTTTTAAGCTATTTATATTTGTTTGGGATTAACAGTTGAACTGCATAGGTCATAGGACAAGTTCACACATGACGTTTACATCACTTGTTTCCTTGTAGCTAGATGTTTGATTGAATTCTACCTAAAAACAGGGTTTGAGATGAAGATATTTGAAAATTTTTATATATACATTCTTACTTTCCTGAACAAAGCTTAAAGTGTTGTACACAGAGCTCCTATTAAGTACATAATTGGGTTGAATTTGCATATCATGTGAATAACCAAAGGTGGTTGGTTTTTTTTCTTGTACTTGACATTTTATTCATTTATGTCTATTTTTATCTTCTCCATTTTTAGGGAAAGCTGCCAGTTCTTCTGCTTGGACGTTCAGCAGAGTTACGGCCTGGTGAATTTGTGGTTGCAATTGGAAGTCCATTTTCTCTCCAAAACACAGTGACTACTGGCATTGTTAGCACTACACAACGAGGAGGCAAAGAACTAGGGCTTAGGAACTCCGATATGGACTACATCCAAACAGATGCAATAATCAACGTAAGTCACTTTTCACAGCACTCGTTTGTGGAATGCCTCCTTCTGATCTTAAAAGACATTACAGCAGTAGAGTCCCTTGTCCTCTCATCCACCCACAAGCCACTAAAATTAGAGTATTAACATTTTTAAAAAAATTCTTATCTCTTGGAACATGAACAACAGCTGATCTGCTGTAATTTTTAGGTTTCTTCCATAAAGAGACACTATGAAAATTTAATTGTAAACAGCTGACTTCTATTTTCTTGTCTTTAAGATCCATCACAGAATTGTCAGAATACTAAAAATAGAAAATTTCAAGTTGTAATGCTGCTTCTTTTAGCATTATGGAATGTGTATTTTGCCAAGATTACATCTCAGAGACTTGTGCTAACTTCCTTTAATTTAGGAATCTACTGCATTAAGAAAACATGTCTTTAAAGCTTCAGTAGCAAGGGCAGCAAACAAAAGAATCAGTTTTTGGCAGGCTTAGAGAAAAAGAGAGGTAATGTCAAAAAACTACTGAAAAACAGAAGTTAGAAGCAGAAGTTCCTGTTTGGAAGACAAAGAAAGGCATCTAAGTTGTAGTGGAAGTACAGTGGTGGTTATATGAAAAAACATTACTTCGCGGAACATATCAATAGCAAAACAAAATACCCTGATTTAAATACTTCCAAATAGGAGAGCTTTATTTTGGTCGTGATGGTATTTTGTTTGCTCTTTGGGGTTGTCTGGCAGATCTTCCAAATCAGTCCCCAATGAACTCTTTTCTGGTTCTTAAAGGTTTTGTCTGCATTTTTGTGCTTGTCATCTCATGAATTACAGTTCAGGGATGTCTGCATAGTATAGTCATAATATGGTGCATTGATTGGAAAAGAATTTGTTGTGTTAACCTAACAATGCTGACATGACTCCTTAAGAGTGACTCCAGATAATGCTTTCATTATGCCAACATTTGTCATAGCATTTTATAGGGTGTTCCTACAAATTGACTGGGTTCATAAGACCCAGTAATCCATGGGTAACTAACCAGTGAGCCCTGACTTACAGGACAGCCTGTGTGTCAGCAACAAACCACTCTGCCAACCCATGACTTCTTTTTGCTGTATCCACTGTCATTGGAACCTGGGGACCGACCATATTGTGCGTACAGGGAAACAGTGAGCAAATTGCTTAGCGAGAGCATAAAAATCTCTTGGTTAGCTTGCCTGAGCTACAGATAGGATGGTTTGCTCTTTTCCAGTTTCCCAGGTGTCAAAAGGGTAGAAAAGTTGGAGCAAAAAGGTCCAAACAAAAATGCTACAGGATCATCCATGAAGGGATGATCTAATCATTCCTATTCAGTAGCAAATACCCCCTCGCAACGTTGTTTGTCAGTTGACAGCTCACCATTTGACAACTGTCAAATGAGGACTGAAGCAACAAATTATCCTGCTTGTAGACTTGCTTTCTCAATGGGCATGGAAGGTGACTCCTGAGCTTTGGCAGGAGACATCATCTGGGACATTGAGGAGACAGGTCCATGCATTTGGGATAGCTGGTGTTGTACACTTGTGCAACTCCAAGCTCTGACAAAATTTTAAAATAATAATAATGAAAATATTTACACAGAACTTGGATTCATAAAAAAGGGATGGGCGTGAATTAATGACAGCAGTTCCAGTATGCTACTTGGACATTTTGAAGGAACTGCCAGTAGCTGTTACTTTCGAGGTAGTGAAAAGTGATTGCAGAGAAACAGGGAAAAGCCATAGTGACTGCCACAGGAGTCCTGGTCCCAGGGGGAGAGAAGACAAGATGGGTCTAGCTGTGAATGGTGAAGGGGAAAGGGGGCCACAATGAGCCCAATTCTTCATCAGGTGCACTGCAGGCTGTTCCATGACCAAGCTGCACTGTGTGGCTTAGTCGTGGGGTAGGTTGTTCTGTTGTGCAAACACAATACCATTTTGTAACTCTTCTACATCTTCTCAACACTTCCATCTTTTTCTCATACCAGAAAAAGATCCATTAAGGAGGGAATGATGGAATAGTTGCACAATACCTTTTGGCTAACACTAGAAACTGTCTCTCTAGAAGCACCGCCTAAGTCTTAGTCACCACAAGGTGGTCTGTAAAAGTGTTTGAGTGACACCTTCAGGAAATCTTTTTATTGTGCAGTTCATGGCACTTTACAGGAGATCCAGATACCAGCATCTTTAATTGCAACCTTCCCATGTTACAGTGGCTTCTTCTGTCACTGCTGCAACTGTTGTTGTAATGTGCCATTAAGTCATCTCTGACTTATGGCAACTCTATGTATGAAAGCTGTCCTAAGTGTCCTATCCATGACAGCCCTGCTCAGTTCTTGCAAATTCATGGCCGTGGCTTCATGTAAGGAGGCGATCCAGGAGAAAAACCCATTAAAGAAACCAAGACAAAATGGCTCTACCATGTCTTGATTGGTAGTACTTAGAGCCCTCTTTCATCTGGAAGCACCTTAGCTGTTAAAGTACTTGTTATGTTAAATTGCATATCGTAGCTGAGCCTATTTTTCCTTTAATTTAGAGTATCTGAACTTGAGAGCAGCCAGACAAAACTCTCTGTCTGATCTATTCGATTCCTGACTGGAAATTCTTATTCCTCCTCTGCTGTGCAAGGCTTAAAAGGAAATAAAATGAGAGAAAGGGAAGGGAGGGAGGAAGGAAGGAAAAGAAAATCCCTCTGATTCTGATGTTGACTTTGATGGCGTGTTTTCCTCTTTTAAAATCTCCATATTTTGAGGGCACATGATTTCAGGAAATGAAAAGATATTAGAAAGTATTTAACATGTGCAGTTACTCTAAAGAAAAGGATAAGGCTTAACTACATGTAGTCCATACATTGACCTTAGAGATTATGGGTGCTTCCAAAAGAGACTTTTGTGGTGCAGCTACACTGTCTTATTGACTTAATTTGCAAGGATTACTGGTTTGGTCTCCGTTTTTATGTTTTTAATCACACTGCCTTGTTAGTAGAATTTTATGGGAGGGTCCAGATGACAGCATCTTCATTTTGCAGTCTTCCTATGTGTTCTACTGCTTCTTTTGTCTTTTATCTTTTTAACTACAGAAAATTCATATATGAAGGAAAACATAAAATAGCATTACAACATCTTTTGGTAGCACTAAGAGCTCTCTGTCTGGATGCACCCAATCTTAGGTTTATTCTATTCAAGTTAAAGTAGGCACTCTCCATAAAGAAATGAGTGAGTGTAAAGGGATGAGTGAGTTTAAATTCATTTTCCAGAATGTACTCGGCAACACTATATATTTAAACATGTAAAGAAGCTATGTAAATAAATGAAAGTAAAATACTAAAAAGCAATGTTTTTTCTATATTTACAGTATGGAAACTCTGGAGGACCTTTAGTAAACCTGGTAAGTGTTCCCTTTTAATAAATCTAGGCAGTGACCTGAATTTAACAATTGGTTATCCTTTCCCTCTCCCCAGACTGGTAGAATTTACAGAGAACAGCTAACAATTGCCTGTAAAATCATCCCCTTGTATCTATCACTTCTTTGGTAACTCCTGTGATGCCTTGTGGTTTGGTATCCCAAATCGTTACTGGTTGTAGTCCAGATGGACAATGCATTAAGGTTCTCTGCAAATAGGAGTATTTTGCAGGCTCTTGTATTTTCAATATGCTAGTTACCAGGTATAGAAAATATTGAAGCTCTGACAGCATCATTTCTAATGTTTGCCCCATGATTTTCTACCAGTCCACTGTCAACCAACATCAGTTGTCTAAGACAGAATTAAGCAGCGAAAGATTGTCGATGGGATGTTGACACTTTCTGGATTTTTTACTGGTATTTCTGTACCTCTACCTGTCAGAGCCAGAACATTTGTGAGTAAAAAACTCAGAACAGGTTCTTGCATCACATGAATTCTGCTGCCTTGAATAATCCTCAGTTTATCACTTTTGGTTTACTGTGTTATTATTTTGGTTTATTGCCGTAAAATGGAATTAATAATGAATATTTTTCCAAAATTGCTCACATTATTATTTCAAGTTTGAAACTCAAAAACCATTACATATGCAAAGGTGCCACATTTTTTTTATAAATACGCTATTTTAATAGATGAATGGTTTAGAAATCTCTTGGGCTAGCCTGCTGTACTTGCATTGAAGGCTTATGCTTTTTTCTGTGACTTCATATTTCTTCCCTTGAAGTCTTGTAGCATATTTGGCAGCTTCTGTAAAATAATATCATTTTCAAAAATTATGGTTCTGGTATGCAGAAGGAGGGGAACATGAGAAAATAACAATTGATTGCATATCATGTTATGGTGATTTGTGTTTCTAAAACATGGAACAGGAAAACATTCATCCTCATTTTGTTCTTGAAGTGCTCTGTCTAGTTTTCTTTTGTAAAAGTTGCTGCTTTTGCAGGAACTGCCCCAATCACCTGAAAATCCCTGTTTTGATTATTTTGCAACAAAACTCAAACTAATCTGTAGGGCTTTCTAAAAACACAGTAGCGAATCTGCTCAGAAAATATATACAAATCAATTAAAGAAAAGTTTTGGGTTGTTATAAGTGAAAGCACCACAATGCTGTACAAAGCATATTTTTGTAACTAGGAAAGACTAATGAGTGAAACCATTACTCTCTGCTTTAGCTGGCAACAGGCCTGTGAAGTCTTAGGACAGCCTTCTTCAACCTGGTGTCCTCCAGGTGTGTTAGAATACAACTCCCATCATCCTACAAATGGGATCTGTAGACCAACATATCTGGAGGGCACCAGCTTTGTGGGGGATGTTTAAGTAGTAAGGCAACTCTGCTACCTAAAATTGGAGGTGCCAGGAATTGAACCTGAAACTTTATACATGTAAGACACGTCTTATGGCACTGAACTATCCTTCGTTTGGCCAATTTGTCTTAAAGTTAAACTTAGTTCACTCCATAAGTGAAAAATTCTTATCCCTAGACAAGGAGTGAGCAACTTGTGGTCATCCAGATTGTAGCCAGCACTGCCAGTTATTCTCAGTTTAGCTTTTCTAACTCAGAACTGAAGGCACTGCCCAGTGGTATTAATTTCTGGGTTAAAAATACTGCATTGGCCTTTTTTGTTCCTGAATGCCAGATATGCAAGTTGCTTCAGTCCATGATGGCTCTGACTGGTCCAGGTGATTAACAGAGATTGTCATGGATGGCGTAGTCAACCCAGCTGGGTTCCTGAAGTGGCTGCTGGGAAGTCTTGAGCCAGGGGAAGGGAAAGAGTTAAATCTGATGTCACTTTAAGGCACCCAGAATGTGGAAATAAGGCCAGATTTTATTTCCTAAAATACATTCAGTGTTGAGTTGGTGATACGTTTAGCGATATGCAAGCAATATGAACATAAGGAGCAATATTCAACTCTATCCACTAGTGCAAATGATGTTGCAGAATCTATGCAGGTTCCTAACTCTACACCAGGAGAATCCAACTGAAATTCTGTTTTCGCAAGTACCAGTGTGTGACTGGTTGTGTGAGCATAATGATCAGGTGCTTGTGCATTGGAAAGATTTGGAGGAGCTCCTCTAACCAAGTGTCAATGTGAGGAATGACCCTGCTGGGTACTGCCCACAGATGGGAGTTCAGATTAATGTATGATAAGACTACTGTGCTTGATATTTGGGTGGCTCAGGCTTATTTCCATTAAATTCACATTGCTACAGGATGGTGAAGTGATTGGTATTAATACTTTGAAAGTCACTGCTGGGATTTCCTTTGCAATACCATCGGACAAAATTAAGAAATTCCTCACTGAGTCACACGATCGCCAATCTAAAGGTACAGTACCTTTATCACACAATAGGAAATAGAGGTTGCAGTCCTATACACAGTAAGGCATACTTCTGAATTGGTATAATCACAGGATTGTGTTTCAAAAGGTTATACAGAATCTATCTCTATATCTATACGGTATAATGAAAAGGAAACAGCATTCTGAATTATAGCATTTTGGATTATAGCAAGGGGGGGGGGTGTATACATACAGTTCTCCCTGACATAATGCACCCACAAAACCTTTCCCCTTGTGTGCAAGTTTATTGAGATAGGTAGTGATGAGAATTGTGGCTTCTACCTGTATTCTGAAGAATTATAGTTTGGAGGTCCACCCACTCATTCTGCATAATAGGTACAGTACAATATCTCAGTAGGCAAGATGGTTTTGTCAGAATAAATAATTGCCTTTTTCCTCTCCCCAAACAGGAAAAGCTGTAACTAAGAAGAAATACATTGGCATACGAATGATGTCTCTCACTCCTAGGTAAATTTCCTCTACCAATACCATTTCCTAATACTCAGAGTTCTCTCCTCCCAGACTAGCTATATATCACCTGCTGTTTTTTGTTTTTTTAATCAAGGAAAAGGGCTTAGTATGCTGTTTTGGGGAAGTAGCAGTAGGAGAGGATTATTGTAACCCAGTCATCCCACACCATTTCCTTGATCTAAACTGCTTTTCCTGAATTTGTTTGTAGGCCTGTGGGGGTCAACAGTATATCCTGAATTTTCAAAGCAGTTGCTTGGGCCTTGTAACCTAAAGGGGCAGATCCCACGAGTATTTATATGTAAGGAGAAGACCGGGCAATTGCTTGCTCACTGGCCTCATTCTTCAGCTGCGATTTCTTATGCGCGCTATCTTTAGCCCCACCATCTATCCTACTTGGTATTATCTGACAAGTATTTATTCTGGGTAAAACAAGCATGTGGGCTCTCTAGTCCTGTCATTCCAAGCACACAGTGAAAGTTGGAATTTGTGCAAAGGCAGGGCTGTCTGGAAAAGAGAGAGCAAGCCCCGTTATCTATTTCTGTCCCTTTTAATCCTGGTTAATCTCAAAGCTACCCTCCTGTCTGCACTGACCAAATGGCATTTTCTGGATAGCTGCTTGAAAAGCAGTCCTTACATGGAGTGCCACATGACTGCAGTGATCGCATCTAGCTAAGAAATGGCACCCAGGGCATAATATTGCAGTGCTTATACTAAAGGAGGAGTTACAGTACACGCTGCCCGGCAACTCGGGCCACTTAACCTGGTCACGGTGGATTGCTCTGTTCCAACCCCAAATGGAGGGATAGGTACTGGCGCTGGGTTAATGGCACACAGGTCAGAGGGAAGAGAAGCGGTCCTAATGTGATTGATTATACTTTAAAATTTGATATAAGCCACTTTAGGGAACATTCTGAATTGGAAAACAAGGAATAAACTAAGTATTTTATTTACTTAGATATTACTTATTGTTAATTTATTACTTAGACATAATCTCACGCACAAACATATGCATGTAGGTACACACACATACATGCGCAAACACAAAGTGAGCACCAGGCACTTGCTTTTAATCAGCGAGTTTCTGGTGCAGTATGGGAGTCATAAGTCATGATTTGGTTTGTTGAAGCCCATCCCTACAAACAAACCAGTTTCTTAATTCTCTGCATAGCACAAATAGAAGTTATAGTTTGCTATTGGCTTATGAACTTTGGCTTATTTGAACCATGACTTGGCTTGTACAAGGTGACATGTACCCTCAGGAAGCTGCAGTGGCCACCTGCTGCTACTTTGAATATGCAACTCTGTGAATTGCAGCAATGCGTTGTGTAAACCTGGCAGGTGTTATTTGAGGGTTAAATGACCATTGCATAATTCATGGTTTGTTCTAAGGTTATATGAGGATTGTTTATCCATCCAGTAGGGTGGTGTAGTGGTTAAAAGTGCTGGACTGAGACTCAGGAGGTCTGGATGCAGTGTTTGCCCTCGTAAGTAAAAGAAAGGACTTTGTGCTTTCTTCCCCTTTTCTGGAAACTCTTTCTGTTTTATCGTTAAGTGTTCTAACAGAAGGGGCAGCTCATATTTGATTTGATTTGGTTTGTTTTTCCTAGTAAAGCTAGAGAACTGAAAGAACGCCATGAAGACTTCCCTGACGTTATTTCTGGAGCCTATATTATTGAAGTAATTCCAGATACACCAGCTGAGGCGTAAGTTGAAGAACTCTTTTATCCAAACTTTGCAACTATTAGCTGGAAGGATAAACACTGTCTAATGATAGGAAAGTTAACTAAACTGTTACCCTCAGATGGCTTTTGTGTGCTATTTCAGGAAATCTGATATTTTTGCAGTAGCAGGGCCTAAAAGAGGAGCTTTGCTGCTTAACCCTTCTTAATAGAGTGATGAGCAATATGGAAGAGAGCGTTGTGAGGTTAGTAAACTGATCCAGCCAGCTGCACTGCTGATATAGTTGCAAAAAGATCAGATCGTGGGATCCCAGCAGCAGCTGAAGCCTGCACTTGTGCCAGATCTGATGACCTGGGCTTATGCTGGCACAGCAATAGCCTTTGACATTGCTGCTTTCTGAACTTCTGCATTGGCACCATGTCATGTGATTATGCCACATGCCCAGGGGCCTATTGACTCACTGCTCTGTCAGGAAAGGGCAGGCTCTGGCCCAGTTCATAGCTCAGCTATTCAGTGTACAATCCTATGCAGGCTTAGACAGAAAGATGCCTGCAGCTCCCAGCCAGTCCTTGCCCATCTACACAAGCTCTTATATAACATCCCGAAGCTCTCAAAACATGCTTGCATGAATGGAGTACCACCACTCCACTTACCGCAAAGAACAAGGTGTGAAGGCTTCTCTAGGGCAAAAAGGAAAGACCTGGGAGCTTTTGGCCAGCCTGCAGTGGTTCAAAGGACCTCTGACATCAGAAGGTATTGCTTTATTACTGTAATATGCCATATACTGTACTATCCAATATGAAAAGTGGTAGATAGAGTACGTGGTATGTGGCAATAATGTAATATTCTTGACACCTTTCTATTGACCCGTAAGTGTATGTTACAATCCTTGTGATTCCTATGCCCATTTAGTAAAGGCAAGTTTCTAGCTCTCATTTTTGCAGCTATAGTTGGAAGTACAGGTTGCTAGCACCAGCAATTTGATACATTTTTAAAAAGTGAATTTGTGCAGCTTATGGTATTTATTTTTTCTGGAATACAGTATAAGAAAAATCTGACTCTCTTGCACATCAGTATTCATCTCAAGCATCATAAATGGCAAACTCTCCAAGAAATTAATCACCTTGTGGGGGGAAAAAATTCTTCTGAAAGAAGTGCTTGTGTGAGGCATTTCTCCATGCATGAGAGAGGCTTGCGACTGCTTTGTGGCTATATAAACTGATTATGTTTAGGGGCTGAAGCATGTCTCATCCTGTTAGCTGAGTTATGGTTTCCATAACTCTGAGCCAAACTTTGTCTACATGTGATGGGGCAAGATAATATAAGGGAAGGATGCCATATTTCCCACAGAAACCTCTGTTAGTTCTGCTGAAAGTTCACCTTCTCGCTTGTTGTATGGATTTGCTCTTGCAAAAGAAGCCTAGATTTGACTTCTTGGTCAGAAATTAATGGCCATGGGACAGAGATGGGGAGAGAAGCCTGCACCCTCTAGAGAGCTTGTGAGATTTATTTAAGGGTAGGGCTCCAAAGTCTCTGGAAAGGTAGAACTCCATCTGATTTCTCCACCCCACCACAAGCCTTTCAGAAGGTACCTCTTTGATTTCTCATTTGAACAGCTCTCTGAGCCTGTTTTCATCACTTGAAGCTCATGAAAATTTAAACCAATCTTCCCAGGCTCAATAGCTCCAGTCGTGTTGGACTAGAACTGTCACTGCCTAAAGGCCATACTGGATGTACATGATGGAACTGTAATCCAGCACAGGTGAAAGGCACCAGGTTGGAGTTCTGAGAATAGTCTGCATGTTCTGGAGGAAGAGCATTTTGTAAAAAAATCATTTATGGAAAAAATGGGTGCATACATGGAGATGAAATAATTGAACTAAGTTCTAAGAACTATGTAGAACATCTTGAGGTGTGCATTGGAAAGAGGGAAAAGAGGATGATGTACTTTCAATGAACTCCGCTGCCATACAGGCATTTGGAAGCGCACACTGTGCCAATCACCTGCCCCTTCTGTTGGGGGGCCTGCCATGCAATTTGCATAGCTAGCTTGTCACTGGTCTTTTTTTAAATCAAGCAACACCTCTCTCCTGTTCTAGTTTAGCCAGCCTCAGATCTTCTTTTTTCCTATCTGAACACACCCAGCACAATGTCATGTGCTGTGCCCATCGCTGCTGTACTCTTGATCAAGGTTATGGATCTCGCTTCTTGAAGGTTGTTATAGAAGGCAGATGTGATTGTTTTTGATACATAAAATGTCTTTTCTTGCATTTCAGTGGAGGGCTGAAAGAAAATGATGTGATTATAAGCATCAATGGACAGCCAATAGTCTCAGCCAATGATGTCAGTGACATTATCAAAAAGGACAACTCACTCAGCATGGTAGTACGTAGGGGTAATGAAGACATTATCCTAACAGTGATTCCTGAAGAAATTGACCCTTAATTAGAAACATGAGCTGGACTTCATGTTTTCTGTTAAGAGCAAGCAGTGGACTGTCTATATTATCTCTGTGCTGGTACAGGAAACATTAGACTTTGGATCAATAATCCAGATAATCAGTGGAATTCATAAAGGTTTGAGACACAAAACCTATGCAATGTTCAAGATGAACTTTCTGCTGTTCTTAATATATGCTATGTATTATCTATCAGCTGCTCCATCTGTTACTATTATTCAGTGGTCAACATCTGCTCCCTTCTGTGCTGCAAACTTATTATGACTTTGAACCAAGACTTCTTGAAAGTAAAACCACCATTCAATCATATATTTCAGCATTTGGGTTTCTTTTTTTAGCTAACTTCTATCTAGAAATGCAGTTGTTAGTAAGTTAGATAGCTAACATGTTTGGAAATATTGACTTGTACACACACAACCAAAAACACCTTCCTTACGGAATCCATGTTGATTTTTTAATACTGTATTTTCCTAGTTTAATTAAAATAATTCCAACAGAATCTGTTTGTGTTTTATTGATTAAAATTCATTTCTCGAAGAACTGTCATTTTTCATATATTCATTGCCCCAAAGCCAAAACACTTTCCATGCCAGGCAGCATGGAATATTCAAGGCACAACTGTGGCTTGTATCATCTGAATCCAATAAGGATGATTTATCGGCATAGTTAACACCCCACCACCACACACACACGCACACACAGGTTTTGGGTGGCTAGTTAACCATCCCAACAAATCATGCTTTCTGAGTTCAGTCAACATGACAAGCAGTGATTGTGGTTTGAATATTCAAAATGGTTGCCTACACATGGGCTGCTTGATCATGTGAACTGGCCCGTTTTTATTGATTCAATTTATGTGCAATATCCTAACTCCTCACACTAAACTAGAATTTTCTCTGGCATTAATAGGTTTTGCTTTGGTCTTTATCAGTCTGAACTTTAAAAATTAGGCTGATCATTGATCGTGATTTTTACATATCATCACAAGACCATGGAATTATTCGCTGCATGTGCAAAGTCTGACCTTAGTGGCTAAATGAGCATTCAGCTGGTGGCTCATTCCAGACTTGGGATGCAATTCATGTGATGATTCAGTCAATACATGTTAACATAAGCTTCTAAAGTCAGTGTACCGCATTGCAGTCACTGCATTTTTGCTCTGACAATGCACAGCTAACAAAGACAGACCTTTACACCCAATGCCCTATAACTGGAAGACAATGTATTCTACGAGTTACTGTGTACTGGGACTGTGCAAACAGATTGAAGCTGTGAGAGTCTGCTGAATTCTACCTCTGTGGTATGTTCGTACGCTCTTAATAGGATGGTGCTTCTCCTACTCAGCCAGTGCATGCCTGATAGTGGGAAGCAGAGTCCTGTTCATGCAGGCATCTCTCCGTGTGAAAGCATGTTTACATTTACACTTATTAAATTAGATGTGCTTCCTTGACAAGTGATAGCAGGAATGCAGAAATCCTGTTCTGTCTATGCCAGAAACTCCCTAAATATTTCTTCTTTCAATTGTCAGTCATGGCATGATTCACCATGATGACTAATGTAATAGAATCTCCCTGCATAGTTTGAAATTGCAGTTACATTTCATTGTGAGGTATTTGACATGGAAGGATCATGTGGAGTGGAATTTAGGTGTCTGATGCAGTGTTGCTCTGTTCCTCTAGACATGACTGTTCATGCCTAGTAACTGATACTGAATTGTATTGATATGGAGAAATGGCACAAAGTAAACTTTCCCATCAGTTTTCTTTCTAATCATGAAAGTATTGCTAAGTGCCATGGGAGACTAAAGAGCTTGGCTTGTGCTATGGCAGTCTGTTAGAATAAGAATAGTTTGGGGAGTTGCCCTTGCCCAGGATCAGGTTAGTTCATGGTTATGTAATATGATTTGGATTTTAACCTTTCTGTATCCCCCTTTTGGAGGAGTCTAGATTTCTCTCTTGCTTTAGCATATTTCTTCTTGGAAAGTACTTCTAGATTGTAGCCTCTTATGCCACCTAGTGGTCTTTTACCAAGTTTGGATGAGTTGCTTCTTGGCCATATCTGGAGCTCATGGTTTCCCTGATTTACTTAACTGTGGCATAGAGTAGCCCATTGATTTTTCTAAGTGAGGCTATAGGTCATTTATGATTTGTAAATTTTTAAGTTAATATGTACAAATGAAAGACTCAAAAAGAGTAGCTGTATACGTCTCTTGTGGAGTGAACAATGAATAATAGCCTTTTAGTATACCAAGGACTAAATTTGTAAGAAAATCTCAGAATCCAGATTCATACAATGGCTGGATTAAGAGAATATAATAATTCATACTCAGTTGAGTGTGGGTTGAACCGTGGGTTGTGGTTGAAATGTGGGTTCCCATGTTTTCTGAGCCAAGCTGAGATACCAAACCATGAACAACCCAGCAACAAATTTTGGGTTCTCTTCATGGGCTGTTCATTGTTAACAAGCTATGGCATGTTAGTGTAACTGGATTCAGACACTTCCATAACTCTAATTTCAACAACAGCCTATGCTCAACCCTTGAGTGTGGCTTACTGTGTTGTATGAACCCAGTCAGTATCTTTATAAGCCCAACTCAAAATGTACAAAATCATGAATTTAAGTATTTGAGATCTACAGGGTAGGGGAGGAAAAGGAAATCTGGTTTCTTGTTGAAACCTTGATGGCTGAAGATGGAATGCAGGAGCTGCTAGAAACTTAAATGGAGTAGGCTGAATTAGGTACTGGAACAAAATCGGCAATGGCCGATTTGAAAATATAAAATCAACTTTTACTCAGTTTTTAAAATATTTTTGTAAATAATAAGTAACAGAAAGAAAAACAGAAGCATAAAAAGAAAAGGTTACCTAGAGTCTGCACACTAAAATTATTTATACAGCTAGTTGCAAGGAGTTCCACGAACAATGATAGAGATTATTTCATCTAGACGTAAAGCTTCAATTTTACACGATAATACATAGTTATAGATAATGCTCTATTAGATGAGTAAGTAGCCAGATAAAACTGACAATTCCACATAGAAAATTGTTTTTGCATAGACGAGTTAGTTGTGTTAATTTCCCCCGTTCTCTCTTCTCTCTCCCCATTTCTCCTCCTCCACTCCCCACCCATTTCCCTTTCTCCTCCTCTTCCTCCCTTCCTTCTATTTAAATAATTCTCCCATATTTCTTGCAAGAGTTTCTGGTAGAATACTCAACAGCATATTGTTAGCATTCATGGAGAAGTTGATTTTCAAATTAATTGATTTTCAGTTCTGACTTTAGGTAAAATATACAGGAAGCAGAAAATAATAGTGAAAACTGCATCAACTTGCTAGCATAAAAACGGCTTCCCTTTAATTAATTTATTTTTCATGCATTTATAGTTCGCCTAGACCTGCCAAGTCCTTCATATTCTATTCTCTGCCTATTAAGGAACTTGTGTGTTTCACCTAATGTTGGAGACAGTCCTTTGCTCCGACGGTCCTAGGCATAGTGTGGAACCTGCATGACACTTAATACACTTAAGACTCTGACTGCATAGGCTTTAATATTAGGGCAATGCTGCCTGTGTGCTGGCAGGGCCCATGGCTACTGCGACAGGGAATTAGAGATCCTGGAAACATCCCCAAAGCATTCATTTCTGTACCAGAAAGGAATGAAGCTCTACTGGCCTGTCCCAGTCCAGAAATAACCTTTTCTACTTGCTTCTGGGGTTGCTTTCTGAAATGTTAGCTCTCTATTGCACAAGCAGTGAGTCCCACTATGCAACGGATCGAGCAGGCATGCAGTGGTATGCAAGCATACTTCCCCCAAGCCAGTTACTTTTCCCTCTCTTACCCCACTACGTTTATCATGCTGTTGATGAAATCTGGAGACTTCAAAAGCTTGTGTGCACAATGTTTAAGCATTTTTTGGTTGGTCCTAATCAAGCTTTGCCCAACTCTGAATTTTGGATTCATTTGGCATGCTATTCATAGGTAAGAACCTGCTCGATCAAATTCTGCATCGGAACATGGCTCATCTAGGAAAGTCCTGGAATTGTTTGCATACCAATGACATAATGGCAGTCAGATGTATCATGAAGCTACTGCACTGCCCTCTATAATAAACATCCTTCCACAATCATTTTTTGAATCCTTCTCATCTCAGAATACCACTCAGAAGTGTTTCTGCAGAAAGGACTCGGCACTTCTCCTACCCATGCTGTGTCATAAATTGTGTTGCATTTAAATTATCGAGTTCTTATGCTATAAACCAAGAAAGATTTCTTTCCTTCTAAATCTCATATTATGATTCTGCCACTTATGCATTAATTAGGGAAACAGTGAAAAAAGTGGGTACAAAACTTGAGACATGGGAATTCAAAGCTACCTGTGCAGATGAGGCTGGTATCTTTCTCAGGATGGCAGCCATGGACACCCCAGCCCAAGTGTTTGCACTGCCACAGCTGGGACTCTGTGCCCTTGTGCGGAATACGCGAAAGCAAGATATTTTCATTGCCTTCACCAATGTGGTCAAAAATGAATAGGCCAAAAAATTGAGCACAGCACTAACACTGCACTGAAGATGAAACTCAAATACTTTGGCCACCTAATGAGAAGGAAGGACTCACTGGAGAAGACCATGATGCTGGGAATGATTGAAGACAAAAGGAGAAGTGGACGGCAGAGGATGAGGTGGCTGGGTGGGGGTCACTGAGATGGTGGGTATGGACTTGGGTGGACTCCAGGGAATGGTGGAGGACAAGAGAGCCTGGAGGAATGTTGTCCATGAGGTTGTGAGGGGTTGGACATGACTTTGCAACTAAACAACAACTTTATGTCAGTTCAATTGGCTTCCCTACTACAATAGATCATCTCTCTTCCTTCGCATTAGTAACATTAAAAATAGAGCAGGTGCTCTTGATCAGCCTTGCAAAATTTGGAAATATAGTAGAGGGTACAGCTTCAGGACAGCCTGCCTGGAAAGGTGAAGGTCAGAGAGGATGTTGCTGGTGGCGAACCATGGTGATTCTGTCTTCTGCAACATGACCAATCCATGCAGCCTGTGCTTTTACACTGTGACTGCACAGGCCCCTTTAGAAGATCTCTTTGTATCTGCGCTGCCTCCGCACGAGTCCTATAGAACACACAGCAAGTTCAGCCAAGCTTACAATAGAACTGATGTGCCAAGTTTCAATATGCGAGGAAGAATACTTCTCAAAACAAAACATATCCACACTACACAGATATTCTCAAGATTGTGATAAATAATAAAACAGAAGTTACCTGCAACTTCTGTGCTTCCCAGTCCAGAATCTGTGAATGGAAATACATTGCATATTTAGATGGGGCATACAACTATTTCATGAAAATACATAGAATAGCAAAGTTGGAGGGGGCCAAGATGGCCACTGGGCCCAACCCCCTGCTCAGTGCAGGACTGCAAGTTCAACCATCCCTCTCGGGTGGCCATCCAGTGGCATCTTGAATGTCTTTTCT